GCAGACTCTGTGGCTCCGCCCACAGGAAGCAGATGACCGAGTGAGCGCTGGTTGAGACGGAGGGGATTTTCCACTGCCTCATTGTTTTGAAGTTACAAGATTGTTTTGTCTTATGAACTGTACAATACAAACGCTACCGGCTCCAAAGCAGAAACACAGTGTGGCCAAAGTGAACCAGTGGCACCAACACGGTGCTGAATTTAAATGTGAACAGCAGAACTTCCTCAGGTTTGGACCTATGGGCTGAGTCTGTCCATGTTTGCTTACTTTTTGATACAAAGCTGCAAAATGAGACTTTGCTAAGGAACATGAACAGAAGCCTGAACTTCGGGAGCCTGTTCAGATGAAACCACGATGACTTTGTTGGGCTCAGATGGAGTCCAGATGTTCGGTGTGAACCTGACCAGGGTCACCACAGTGGATGCATGGTCCTGACAGTGAAGCACGGAGGTGGCAGCATCATGATGTGGGCTGCTTTAGTGCAAAAGGTGACATTTGTAGATGCACCATGAATGTGTGTGAATATACTGAACCTCAAAGGACTCTCAGTGTGCAGAGGCTTGAAGAGAAGGAATATTTCAGTGGTAGTGAGTGTAAACTACGACGTGGCCAAGCGCTCGTCTGACTTGAATCCATTTGCAGACCTTTAAAGTTTAAGCAACGCAAAGTCTGACAAATGGCAGTAATTCGATTTCCTCGATGCTGATTGAGTTTGTCGGCAGCTGATGATGAATCACAAAACTCTGACGTTTCCTTAATTGCAGTCAACGACGAGAATCTAATCCAGCCCAACCCGACTGATCCTCCTGAGCCTCCTCAGATAACTCCGACCAAGCTGCTGTGTTCCATCCTGCTGTTCATCCTCTACACCATCATACTCATCCTGTGTATCTACACCATGAAAAAACTGGCTAGAGGTAAGAAGGCCTCTGAAATTCATTGTGACGCTGGATTACGTGTGTTGATCATCTCTTCTTGTGGCCTGGCGAGAGGTCAGAGACAAGAGTGTCGAAATCGTATAATTAGCTCATATTATTATGTTGTTGTTGTTGTTGTTGTTTTAATTTGTATACATCATTAGTCATTTAATCTGTTGCAACAGTGTCACTGTAATTATTCAGGTTTTTCAGTTTTGGGTCACATCATTCACTAATTGTCAAGATAACTGAACTGAACTGAGCTTTGCATAGCTTAGCTTAGCCTAGCTTAGCCAGACTTAGTGTAGCCTAACTTAGCCTAACTGAGCTGTTTAATTGAGCTTAGAGTAATTTTGCTTCGTTTAGCTTAACTTAGCTGAGTTTAACTTACTATCTTAGTTTAACTTAGCTTAGCTTAGCTTGACTTAACTTAGTTGACCTTAGCTTAACTTAGGTTAACTTGCCTTAGTTTAGCTTAACTTAACTGAACTTAGCCTCATGTCATATAGTTTACCTTAGCTTTGCTTAATTTATCGTACTTTAGCTTAATTTAAATCAGATTAGCTTAACTTGCCTCAATTTGACTTGGCTTAACTTAACTAAACTGAATTTACCTGAGCTTAAATTAACTTGACTTAGCTTAGTTTAGTTTAGCTTAATCTCCATCCTCTCAGTTGGGATTAATTTTTAAAATGTGGCTAAATTAATTCACAATAACATGTTATCAGGACAAAACAATCCTGTTGAGTGTTATCCAGCTAACTGGTTCTGTGAAGGCAGTTTCAGAATTAACTAATCCTGGATTAAGTTATCTTTCATCTGCCTTTTTAAATGAATTTGAAAGCAGAACCAGCATTTGCTTGATCAGCAATAGATTCATGGACATAATCCGTGTTTAATGTGTTCACACACTTCACTGTTGTTTTGTTCTGCGTTGTGCTCGTTTGTTTTTCTATTATTGCAAAACTCTGAAAGAATAGTTTTAAATGCAGAAATAATTATCAGCAACGTTTTGATTGTTAAAGTTTTCTTGTCTTGGTTTACTTTTCTGTCTCTATTCAGCTTTATCTCTCATCATGTACAAGTAAAGGTGATAAAACTGTGACGGATGGCAGTGAGTTCTCAGTATCTCTAATTATTTATGACTAATAAGACAAAAACCACAAGCATGAGAACCACAGGCTACTTGCAAAGATGTCCAACCAATCTTGGCCACAACGGTTGACGTTCATCAGGGTTGCCATGGTGATAGCTTAAAATAAAAACAACTTGGCCTAGTTCGACACCAGGAAACCAAAGTCGAGTTTAAAGAGAACCACTTCTTCTCATTTCGTCTTTGGAGCTGCATGTTGTGGCGACTGAGGTTTCGAGGTGACGCTTGAAAAGAGGACTGATTCACATGAGCAAAGTTTCACATCCGTCCCTCCAGTCGCTGTTGATTTACTCCAAACTGCATCAAAACAGACAATAACACAATAAAAGCTGCGATAGTTGATGTCACAGGGTGAAGTCAGCAGTAGAACAGGTGGAAAGCAGGACATAAACCAACAGCAGACGTCCAACTGAACGCTTCAGTGTCGCCCCCTGCTGGAGACACAGTTCATGAAACGTAGCTGCACCGTCTCAGGTTCAGTTCGTTCATCTCTTGTTGGGGATCCAAACCTTTGTTCTGCAGGGTGTTTCAGCAGATTTATCTATTTTTAATTTCCACCCTTGAAAAAGAAACAAAACAATATCTCCAGAAATAAAAATGTGGTGAGGACACAGACGGAACAGTTTCCAGCATTCATGACTAAATGGATCCAACAGAGGAAAACGTCTTTGTTATTGGTTCTTGAAAATGGGGAAAAAGTAAAGATTTTATAAACAAAGGGTGGTACCGGAGCTCCAGAAGGTCACTGAGAGTGTAAATCTGTACATGTTTCCTGTTTCTGAGAACATAAAACCGGTGAAGGTGGTTCAGGAACATGAAGGTGACTCGGACTGGTCCAGGTTTTCTTGTAACGCTGCCGGTGCAGAATTAACTGTGATCCTAAAGAAAGTTTCCGTCTTCCTGCAGCTCGAGCTGAAGCTAAACGCAGACCTGCTGGCGTCTAGTTCTGGACTGAGGAGAGGAGCAGCGACGCTCTACGCTTTCATATTTACGATCACATCTTCTTCTTCTTCTGAGCACTCTGCTGCTGCGACGCCGACCGACCAAATGGTGTCGCGTATTTAACAGGCTTGATTCTCAGCGTCATGTCAACATTATAGTTCTTGCATTTCTTGTTGTCATGCAGCAATATTGATTATTATTAATCTGCACTTTCTGTATTTGTTTTGGAAGTACTTGTTCTCTTGTGAAGGCTTTTCATTATTATTATGATTGTTGTTAAAGTCTGAGGTTCAAACCAGAAAACACAGGAAGTATTTAAAGAAGAGCTCACAAATGTCAGAAAAAGAAGTGAAGATGAAGAATATTTAGTGCGACTTTTCTTCTTTTGTTTTGAACTTTTCTGAGCACAAAATACGAGATTTACTGGTTGTATGATTCCCGGTGAGGTTTAATTTATTAAATTAAATTAAGTTAAATTACTTTAATTCAACAATTTCGCTGAGGTTTGCACCAAAGGATCAATAAAGTTCTATTCTATTCTACTTACATGTTTTATGATGTTGAGCATCACGTTTTTTAAGAGTTTAACTCACTGGAAGTTTGCTGGTGTTGAATTTTTTGAAGTTTAAAAGAAAGAAAGCAAGAAACGGGACATTGGAGATGCAGTGTTTAAGCTACTATGAATGAATTCTAAGAATCTGAAGAGCTGAAGGATTAAAAATGAATAAAGATGAGAAAACTGTTTCTGAGAGTTTCATCTTTAAGATATCAGAAGAAGTCGAGCATCCGGCAGCTTCATCTGGATCCTTTCACACTGTAAGAAACGATTTCAAATAAAAACTGTCATTTTTGGGAATGTATTCTTTTTATTTCATGGATGTTTTAGAAATACATAAAAGAAATGTCAAGAAAACCACAAAAACAGACGGTGGATTTAAATGTCTGATGTCAAACAACGTCAAAAGTGATCTGTTAAATGTTTATTAAAACTCATTTTACCCCTGATATGATCTAACATTAACAGTTTATTATTAGAATTCACAGTCAAATGTTTAATAGTGGTGGTTTTGCATTTCATTTCTAAATCCAATAATTTTGTAGGTGGACATTTGTTTTTTGTTTTTTTCATAAAATGACACCATAAACTAATAATGTCACCTTTTTGCAGTATTGAGCAGCAGCCTGATTATTCGTATTATAACGTTTTCAGCCGTATTCAAAGGTAGTTTCATTGTTTTTATGTGTAAATATCCTTCAGTAAACGTTAGAAATACACATTAATGTCCAATCAAGGCTACAAACTGTATTTATAACAATAGAAAGTTGTTGTATTTTTTCTGAGAAGGTTATTTTCTGTCATTTTAGTTGTTTCTGTGTCACAATTTGTAATTAATTAACCAACACCAGAAGCCGACAGACGGGGGCGCCACTGTGCCACTAAACCAAACAGCTTCGTTGTGACGGGACGCTTTCTCTTTTAGAAGCTGATCCAAGTTATTCCTGGTGACTGTTTCTGCCTGTAAAACACAAATAAACACACAAAAATACAACATTCCAGCAGCTGTGGCACCAAAAACTACACTAAGACCATATAAAATAACAAGTTCATCAAAGAAACCAAACTTTTCACAGTTAACATGCAATTTTATGCCTTAAGTTTTCATTAAAGTGTTTTTTTTTAGGTAGTTTCATTTAAATTAAGGTTATTTAAACTTAGGACAACATTTAAATGAATTACAAATGTGGTCAAATAACATTTTAATACAAATAATCACTTTTTATGCTGCAGAAAAGTGCCACTATTAGTTGAATTTTCTTCTATAATTAATGTAATATAATTGTACATTTGTTGGTTTAAAACTGCGAGATTCAACTGTTATTTTCAGATTATGTCATAAAAAAGATTTTACACATAACTTTACCTTAAAATCCACCAATAAAATGAATGTACTGTTAATGAACAAATACATGCTATAATTACAATAATAAACTGTCGAGAATGTGACGAGTTTTTATCCATAACTTTAGTTGTTTTTATTATTATCATGATATATTTAAATTTAGCATATTTTTGTAATTGTAATGATATTTGTGTGAATGTCAGAAATGTTTTATACACACGATTTTAGTTCTATATTAGATTTATATGACTTAGGAAACAAGGAAAAGAAACGGACTTTACAAGAATGTTTGTGTATTTTCCTGCTGATGGTAAAATAACAGTCACATGATCAGTGATTTTCAGGAGTAAACAAACACATGTCTGATATCAAACTTGTTAAACTTGATGAGAATGTGAGCATTTTTACAGACGACTACGTTACATATATTTCTAACTTGATAAACTGTGTTATGTGAGTCAGTCGGTTCCATCACTGGAGCGTTAAGTTGTTTTTTGTTTTTTTTTAACCTGTTCTGTTCAGCAACTTGGGCAAATAGTGTGATGGTTCTAGATGCCCAGTCGTGCCACACAGATTTGCTCTGCTACGGGGGAAGTCTGAGATACTTCTCCCGTAGTGTGATTTATATTTTATTCTTTGTGACGACCGGACCAGAACAGGGGGGACAGGACAGCAATAAAGAAAAGGGGAGGGAGGCAAGAGGTCAGACAATGGGGGAATACAACAACAATGACAACAACGGCAACAACAACAACAATAACAACAATAACAATAACGACAACAATCACAACAATCATAGTATGGCTA